CATGCACATGTCATGTGATTAGCTGTGACCAAATCACAGCTAAGCACAAAAAAAAAAAAAAAAAAAAGCTGAATGAATCGATTTCATTCAGGTAAATGCTTGCTTATAGCAAAGTCATTCTTTGCTATAAGCAAATTGTGTAAAAAAAAAATAAAAAAAATACTGATCACTTCCCCATAGTACAATGTTACTATGGTAACATTGTACTACTTTGGTCATAGTAAAATATTAAAACAAAATCTTAAAAAAATTAAAAAAATGTAATAAAAAATTAAAAATAATAAAAAAAAATTAAAAAAAAAAATAAAAAAAAAAATATATATTTTTTTTTTTCATACTGTCACCAGTCAGTGTCCCTGATCACCGCCATGCCAGTTATATGATGACGCTGTACTGCACTGGTGACAGTATATAAAAAAAAAATAGTGAAAATAATTTTTTTTCATTTTTTCATTTTCCGAAAAATTATGACAAAAAAATACAACTTCAAAAAACTCGCCATGCCTCTTATGAAGTACGTCGGACTGCCTACTCTGCAAAAAGGGGTCATTTGTGGGATATCTGTACTATTCTGACATTCTTGGACCTCAAGAAATTAGATTGGCTGTCAGTACTTCAGGATTGATCAATATTCAGATCTATACCATAGTTTGTGAACTCTATAACTTTCCTACAAACTAAATAATACATCCTAATTTGGGTTATTTTCACCAAAGACATGTAGCAGAATACATCTCGGCCTAAATTTATGAAGAACAATTATTTATTTGTAAACTTTTATAACAGAAACAAAGAAAAATGTGTTTTTTTCTTTTTCAAAATTTTTGGTCTTTTTTTGTTAATTTAGCAAAAAATAAAAACCCCAGCGGTGATTAAATACCACCAAAAGAAAGCTCTAGTTCTGTGAAGAAAATGATAAAATTTTAGTTTGGGTACAGTGTTGTATGACCGCGCAATTGTCCTTCAAAGTGTGAGAGCGCTGAAACCTGAAAAATGGCCTGGGCAGGAAGGTGTAAAATTGCCCGGTATTGAAATGGTTAAAAGCAAACAAAATTTTGAAGTACTTTCAAATCTGTCAAGCCCTGAAACGAGAATTTTCAAACAAATTAATTTGAACATTCATTTGAAAGACTACTAGTGAATTGCCCACTAAAAAACAATAGTGGGTCTTAGCAGCTACATAAATGCACTCATTAGACTGAACTTAAAGTGTTACTAAACCCACAGCAGTAAAATCAGTCTGTATATGCAGTAAAGCATGCTTGTTATACTCACTGTGGAACCCAAGCCCAGACTGGCCATGGGGCACAACGGGCATTTTCCCAGTGGGCCGGGGCCACCTGGCAGGAGAGGCGGCGGGGCGGCACATAGAGCACTGTGTATTTCTCAGTTCCTCTATGTTCCGCCCGGTCGCCTCTCCTAGCCATCTCCTGGATGCCGTGGCCTCCTGTATGCACCCCCGCAGCTGGCCCCCCCTCATCTCCTGCAGCACTGCCGCTGGGTTTTCACCTCCCTGCGGCTGCTGCGGGGGATCTGTCAGCATATTCTGTCCTCAGTGCTGATACTTCCCCGACCCACAAATGAAGAGAGACAACTGGTTCTGCCCCTCCTCCTCCCACCCTCTCCTCCTGTGTCTGCCCCGCTCACACTCCCCATTAGCCCTGTGTCTTCTCTCCTCCCTTCTTCTTTTTTTTCTTCTCTTTCTTTCTCTTTCTTTCTACTTCTCTCTTTCTTTCTCTCTCCTGTTTCTCTCCTTTCTTTTTCTTTCTTTCTCTCTCTCTGTCTCCAGTATCTCTTATTTTCTTTCTTTTTCTCTTTCTTTCTTTCTTTCTTTCCCTCCTCTCTTTCTTTCTCTCTGTCTCTCATCTCCTGTTTCTCTCTTTTCTTTTTCTTTCTTTCTCTCTCTGTCTCCCATATGTCTTATTTTTTCTCTCTCTTTTACTTCCTTTCTTTCTATACTTCTCTTTCTTTTTCTCTCTTTCTTTCTTTCTTTCTTTCTTTCTTTCTTTCTTTCTTTCCTTCTCTCTCTTCCTCTGTCTCCTGTTTCCCTCCTTCCTTCTTTCCCTCCTTCTTTCTTTCTTTCCTTCCCTCCTTTCTTCTTTCCCCCTTTCTTTCCCTCTTTATTTCTGTCCCTCTTTCCTTCTTTCTTTCTTTCTTTCTTTCTTTCTTTCTTTCTTTCTTTCTTTCTCTCTCTGTCTCCTGTTTCTCTCCTTCCTTTCTTTCCCTCCTTCCTTCCTTCTTTATTTTTCTCTCGCTCTTTCTTTCTTATACTTCTTTCTTTCTTTCTTTCTTTCTTTCTTTCTTTTTCTTTCTCTCTACCTCCTGTTTTCTTTCTTTTCTTTCTTTCTTTTTCTCTCTACCTCCTGTTTCTTTTCTTTCTTTCTTTCTTTCTTTCTTTCTTTCTTTCTTTCTTTCTTTCTTTCTTTCTTTTCTTTCTTTCTTTCTCTTTTTCTCTCTACCTCCTGTTTTCTTTCTTTCTCTTTCTTTCTCTCTTTCTTTCTTTCTCTCTTTCTCGCTTTCTTTCTTTCTTTCTCTCTCTTTCTTTCTTTCTTTCTTTCTCTTATTCTCTCTTTCTTTTTTTCCATACTTCTATAGGTCTCTCTTTCTCTCTCCTATTTCCTTTCTTCCTTCTTTCTTTTCCTACTGATACTAGTGGGGGAACTAGCAGGGTGGCAAAGGTCGCTCTTGCGACCACGCCCTGGTGTTCCGCCACCAGGCTCCAAGGAAAGAGTCCTGGGTTTAGTAACACTTCAAGGTGGAGTTTATAGTGTTTTATGTTTTTAGATATATATGTGACACAGCTCTGCTTGAGGACCAGTAAACAATTTTATCAGTATGTGTTAATGTAAAGAAAACAAACAAACAAAATAACAAACCAAACAAGCTTCTTTTTGTAGTTGGTGATTATCTATGTATATGGGGGCAGCCTTTTTGATGCTCTTATCTTAGTGCTAATTGAAAACAGATATCATTGGTAGCCAGAAACCATGTGACCCCAACTGCCTAGGCAGGAATGGCAGGTTTTTGATTTATCAGAACTACGTTGATTTTACTCAAAGTAACATCTATAATCGATCTTGCTCATACGTACCAAATTCCCCCTCCCCCAGAGTTTTTTATGAGTTGTAATGATAGGTTCTCTTTGGTCACATTAATTAGTCCTTGGGTCTGAATGGTAGATGCTTAACATATGGATGGATTTGTGAGATTTTAGGGTTGTTTGATGTTATTTGTACACCCCTGGCTAAAATACTTTCACGAGATTGAAATCCTGAGAATCCAAAATCCTGCAGTACTGCTAAAAATCTGCTTTTGTCTCTAGAAAATTAGAAATGTATGAAAAAACATTTGAAAGTGTTTCATTAAGACTCCTATGCAGTGTGCTTTTTGTCCATTTTGCAATGCTTTTCGCAGTTCGTTTTGCGTTTTTCTACACACGTTTTTGCTGCAATTTTGCCGCGATTTGCATTTTGTTCAGCTCTTTTTTTTTTTTTAAGTGGAATTTTTCTTTTGCTAGGCACAATAAAAATGCCAAACACAGCACAAATGCACTACACTGCATTTCAGCATCTTCTCCATTGAACTCTATTGTAGCAAAAATGCTACTTTTTGCTTTTAAAAGAGTCCCTGACCCTTTCCAAAAACGCAGCAGCTCAGAAAAGAATAGATGTAAACATGTGCCATAGGAAACCATATTAAATGGACTGTAGTGCATTTCTGCAAAAAGCACAAAAAAAAAATGCATTTGTGTGAATCTGGGGTCCATTTTATAGGTCCTGCACTTTCAGATATTGTCTTGGTGATTTTTATTTTTTTTTTTTCACTATTAAGGCTTTAATGCATAGGAGAGAAAAAAAAGCACATGTTTATCCAGAAACAATGACATGCTTAATTTTTTCAATATTTCAATTTTAACATGACTTTAATTTTAAATAAAAAAAAAAAAATGGGGGAAAAAAAACAAGAAAAATGCTTAAAACAATCAGCTCACATTTTTTTATGTACCTGCTTTTTGTTCTGGCTGCACTCAGCAGTTCACAGTCCATTTAATGCGATTTCCCCATAACTCAGGCAGAGGATCCATTACATTGTGTGGGGGAGGGGGTTTCCATTAGCTCGGCTCCCTGCCGATCTTCTCGCTGTCATAATGAGAACACAAATTTCTACACCTTTTGGTGTAATCACTGACTGAACCTGCTTCATCTTTGTCTGCCTGTCTGATCTATTCAATAGATGATTCAATTGTTATTAAAAAAAAAAATACTACATTGAAAAAGGTTTATTTTCTTATGTATGAGCATCTAAAAAGAGCACCCGGGTAATATTCATAGCTTCCAGTTTAAAAAGAATGTACAGAATTTTTTATACTATTTTATCATTATGACCTTGGTTGTTAATAAAAAAATAACACATTTTTTTCAGTTTCTACAATAAATAATAAATATTGGGATTTATTTACTAAAACTGCAGAGTACAAAATCTGGTTCAGCGCTGCATAGAAACCAATCAGCTTCCAGGTTTTATTGCCAAAGCTTAAAGTGTTACTAAACCCACAACAGTACAATCAGTCTGTAGATGCAGTAAAGCATGCTTGTTATACTCACTGTGGGACCATTGTGTAAAAAGGCTGTTTGATCCTGTCTTCTCTGATCATCCCTTTCTTCCACAGTCCCCAATCCTTCTGCTGACAGTACAGAGCTCTAGGAGACACTCTGCACATGCTCTGTTTGGTGTGTGTTGCTAGAGAGTTGTTTTTTTTTTGGGAAGGTGCATGTGATCAGCACAGGGCCAAACAGCATGGTCCAGACAGAGGGTCTAGGGTCATGAAGTAACATAGGACAGCCAAAGGAGAATGAAAACTCCTACAAGCTTTAACCAGTGCTCTGCTGGACACTGATAGAAGTCACAAGACTGTTCTAACTGCTGATGAGAAAAGGTATTTAGCAGTTTATATTTACTAAAATAATAGCACTTCCATGTTCTGTGTACTGAGACCAGATATAGTGAATGACCAGGGTCCAGGGAGACCAGATATAGTGAATGCAGGGTCTGGGGAGACCATGATATAGTGAATGCAGGGTCCTGGGAGACCAGATATATAGTGAATGCATTGTCCGGGGAGACCAGATATAGTGAATTCAGGGTCCGGGGAGACCAGATATAGTGAATGCAGAGTCCTGGGAGACCAGATATAGTGAATGCAGGGTCCTGGGTTTAGGAACACTTTAATTGAACATGCTGAAATTAGAAGTTGATTGGCTACCATGCACAGCTGCACCATATTCTTGAGTGTTCAAGTATTAGTAAATCTACCCCATTGCCTATGAATTACTGGCTTTTCTATAGTTACCTAATTTCTAAAAATAAGCCCATCATGTACAGATGAAATGTATACATTTAAAATGCTCAAAAGCCCTAAACAATTAAAAAAAGATCAAATGTCTGTAACAGCAGCATTTTTTAGCTCAAAGGTGCATGAGGCCTTAGGCCTGGGTCACACCTATGTGTTTTCAGTGCGTTTTCAGTTTTGCAGCAATGCACTCAGTTCATTAAACATGGTTTCCTATGGGTCACAATCACATTTGTGCATTTTCCACCAGTGCGTTTTTCTTTGGAAAGTGTCAGAGAATTTTTTTTCTAAAGCAGGTTGCTGCATTTTTGGGCCCATAGACTTCAATTGAAATGCAGCGGAAACACATCAAAAATGCAGTGCTTGCATTTTTGATGCATTTCTGTAGTGTTTTTTGCTGGTTTCTCCCGCAAGACAAAAGACACCTCCCAAAAAAAAATGCAAACTGCATCAAAAAAGCATGAAAAAATGTGTTGAAAACATGTGAAAAAAAAACAAAAAACAAACACATCAGGAAAATGTATCAACTGCAGCCTGCATAGGTGTGAACCAGGCCTTATAGGACTGTCAAGATCTCTTGGTTTAATGGCCAATGTAGTGCCATATTACCCCAACTATTGGCAGATACAATGTAATCATTCTGTTACATTGTGACTACATTACGTTTAGGTGCAAAGAATTCAAATGTAACAATTCCATTACATACAATGCAGTTATTTTCTATCTTCACACATTCTAGTTGCATATTATATTTTTGTATTTCAATGGTTTTTATTTTTTATTCATTTTAAACATAGGACTGAAGCAAAAGGCTTGCCCACGCAGGGGCTATCAATGGCACATAAGGTATTATTATTATACAGTATTTATATAGCGCCAGAAAGGTTTGCTCAGCGCTGTACATTATAGTGGGCGACAGAACATGAGACAATACAGTAACAAAACAATACACGAGGGGTTCGAGGGCCCTGCTCCTTGGAGCTTACAATCTAGGAGGGAGGGGAAAGTGGTACAGGAGGAAGTGGCTGTGGGGGATGGAGTTGTAAGAGGAGTGGAGGAGATCGGCTGTTCGGTGAGGAGGGGTGTGGTAGGCTTCCCTGAAGAGATGGGTTTTCAGGGTGCGCCTAAAGGTGAGGAGGATAGGTGACAGTCTGATGGATTGGGTTAGTGAGTTCCAGAGGGTGGGAGAAGTCCTGGAGAAGTCCTGCAGTCAGGCGTGGGAGGAGGAGACCAGGGAGCTAGAAAGTAGGAGGTCTTGTGAGGAGCGAAGATTACGGGTTGGGTGGTATTTGGGTATCAGGTCAGTGAGGTAGTTTGGGGCAGCGTTATGAATGGCTTTGTACGTCAATGTTAGTAGTTTGAATTTAATGCGTTGGGCAATCGGGAGCCAGTGGAGGGAATGACAGAGGGGGGTGGCAGAAGAGGAGCGGTTGGTAAGGTGGATGAGTCTGGCCACAGAGTTCAGGATAGACTGAAGTGAGGATAGTCTGTGATGAGGTAGGCCGGTGAGAAGGGAGTTGCAGTAGTCCAGACGTGAAATAATGAGGGAGTGAACGAGTTGTTTAGTAGTGTCTGGGATAAGGAACGTACATATTTTGGAGATGTTGCGGAGGTGGAGTCTGCATGCATTTGCCAATGATTGGACATGGGGTTGGAAGGACAGGTTTGAGTCTAGAGTGACACCTAGGACTTTGGCTTGTGGGGTGGGACTGACGGTGGCATTGTTGGTCGTGATGGAGAGGGTGGGGGGGGGTGCAGTCTGGGGGGAAGATTAGGAGCTCGGTTTTGGAAAGGTTCAATTTGAGGAAGTGGAGTAACATCCAGTCTGATATGTCGTTCAGCATGTGGGATTATATGGGTGGAGACTGAATGGGTGAGGTGAGGGGTGTAGAGGTAAATTTGCGTGTCATCGGCATAGAGGTGATAGTTGAAGCCGTGGGAGTGTATCAGTTTGCCGAGGGAGGAGGTGTAGATGGAGAAGGGAAGGGGCCCGAGGACAGAGCCTTTGGGGACCCCAACAGAGAGGAGGAGAGAGGAGGAGGTGGTAGCGTTATAGGTCATGCTGAAGGAGCGTTGGGATAGGTAGGAGGAGAGCCAGGAAAGAGCGGAGTCTCTGATGCCGAGGGAGTGTAGTTTGTTAAGGAGGAGGGGGTGGTCAACTGTGTCGAAGGCCGTGGAGAGGTCAAGGAGTAAAAAGACTGAGTAGTGGCCATTTGGCGGTTAGCAGGTCATTAGTGATTTTGAGTAGGGCGGTTTCGGTGGAGTGTAGGGGACGGACGCCAGACTGTAGTGGATCAAGAAGGTTGTTGTCAGTGAGGTGGGCGCTTAGGCGATTGTAGACTAAGCGCTCAAGGAGCTTGGAAGTAAATGGCAACAGGGAGATGGGTCTAAGGTTGTTCAGGTCGGTGGGGTCCAGGGAAGGTTTTTTGAGTATGGGGGTAAGGTATAAAAGGAACAATGTTACAACACCAGCAATGGAGGAAACACGCCCACGCAGGGGCCATCAATGGCACAGAAAATGCATATATATATATATATGTATATGTAAAAAAAAAATACAGTGTTATAACTCCAGCAGTGAAGCAAACCAGAGACAGGTCTCTACCGCCTCACAAAAATCATACAAAGACAAAAAGGAAAGAAGAGTAAGAAGAAGGAAGGTAGACAAGATCAACAGCAGGGATTCGGGAATGCCTAACTGATCAACAACCTAGACCCAGACTAGCCAGGGGCATGTTATATTTTTGATAGTACATATGAAATAATTTCTGGGAAGAAAGGAGAGCTCTAGGCAATGCTGCGACAAGGTCAACCAGCGCCCAGGGCAAAGATGCCAAACTGCTCCCACCCCATTCATGATGTGCAAGCTTAGGAGATCCTATGCCCAGTAGTCACTCGCTTGTCAAAATCACTACTGCTGTCAGCCTTGTAAGGAAGGCGCCCCCAATCCTACAGTAAACCATTACGCCCAGGGCAGCCTCCCCTCCCGCCCTGGCTCTAGGTCACACAGGCTATCAATGACAAATATAAATATATAAAAAATATTTCTGTTTATTAAAATATTTATATATGTATATATATATATATATATATACAGTGGGGCAAAAAAGTATTTAGTCAGCCACCAATTGTGCAAGTTCTCGCACTTAAAAAGATGAGAGAGGCCTGTAATTGGCATCATAGGTAGACCTCAACTATGAGAGACAAAATGAGAAAAAAAATCCAGACAATCACATTGGCTGATTTGCAAAGAATTTATTTGCAAATTATGGTGGAAAATAAGTATTTGGTCACCTACAAACAAGCAAGATTTCTGGCTCTCACAGACCTGTACCTTCTTCTTTAAGAGGCTCCTCTGTCCTGCACTCATTACCTGTATCAATGGCACCTGTTTGAACTTGTTATCAGTATAAAAGACACCTGTCCACAACCTCAAACAGTCACACTCCAAACTTCACTATGGTGAAGACCAAAGAGCTGTCGAAGGACACCAGAAACAAAATTGTAGACCTGCACCAGGCTGGGAAGACTGAATCTGCAATAGGCAAGCAGCTTGGTGTGAACAAATCAACTGTGGGAGCAATAATTAGAAAATGGAAGACATACAAGACCACTGATAATCTCCCTCGATCTGGGGCTCCACACAAGATCTCCCCCCCCCCCCCCCGTGGGGTCAAAATGATCACAAGAACGGTGAGCAAAAATCCCAGGACCATACGGGGGACCTAGTGAATGACCTGCAGAGAGCTGGGACCAACGTAACAAAGGCTACCATCAGTAACACACTACGCCGCCAAGGACTCAGATCCTGCAGTGCCAGACGTGTCCCCCTGCTTAAGCCAGTACATGTCCAGGCCCGTCTGAAGTTTGCTAGAGAGCATTTGGATGATCCAGAAGAGGATTGGGAGAATGTCATATGGTCAGATGAAACCAAAATAGAACTGTTTGGTAGAAAACACTCGTCGTGTTTGGAGGAGAGAGAATGCTGAGTTGCATCCAAAGAACACCATACCTACTGTGAAGCATGGGGGTGGCAACATCATGCTTTGGGGCTGTTTCTCCACAAAGGGACCAGGACGACTGATCCATGTACAGGACAGAATGAATGGGGCCATGTATCGTGAGATTTTGAGTGCAAACCTCCTTCCATCAGCAAGGGCATTGAAGATGAAACGTGGCTGGGTCTTCCAACATGACAATGATCCCAAACATACCGCCCGGGCAATGAAGGAGTGGCTTCGTAAGAAGCATTTCAAGGTCGTGGATTGGCCTAGCCAGTCTCCAGATCTCAAACCCATAGAAAACATTTGGAGGGAGTTGAAAGTCCGTGTTGCCCAGCGACAGCCCCAAAAACTTCACTGCTCTAGAGGAGATCTGCATGGAGGATGGGCCAACATACCAGCAACAGTGTGTGCCAACCTTGTGAAGACTTCCAGGAAACGTCTGACCTCTGTCATTGCCAACAAAGGATAAATAACAAAGTATTGAGATGAACTTTTGACCAAATACTTATTTTCCACCATAATTTGCAAATAAATTCTTTCCTAATCAGCCAATGTGATTGTCTGGATTTTTTTTCTCATCTTGTCTTTCATAGTTGAGGTCTACCTATGATGTTAATTACAGGCCTCTCTCATCTTTTTAAGTGGGAGAACTTGCACAATTGGTGGCTGACTAAATACTTTTTTGCCCCACTGTATATATATCAGGGGTGGACTAACCATTTGGAAACTCGGGCACAGCCTGAGGGCCCGGGGTCAGTAGGGGGCCCCATGAGATGCCCCTGGTACCTTTTTCATTGGCTTTTTTGAGTTTGGGCAAGGACATAGGGGCCCCATGATCCCCTATTGCCCAGGGGCCCCATGAATTGTCAGTCCACCCCTGATATATATATATATATATGTATATTGTCCTAGATTGTAAGCTCCCAGGATCAGGCCCTCCTAACCCTCTTGTATT